CTCACATGAAGGATAGTGGGGCGGTTTGACGTGGGGTTAGGGGTCAATAGGGTGTGGCTTACCTTTTTCAAAGGGGTTGACTAAAAAGACATCCCATTTTACCATATAGACACCTAATTAAATTTTAAAATATTTTTATTGGTTGAAATTGCATTGTTTTCCGAAAAAACTGATTATAAGTAGTTAATTATAGCTTGACTTTTTATAAAGTGGTCAATGAGTTATCTAAGGGGTGTCATCATCCTTTTCAAATAGGTTCCAAAATTTGGGTTCCAGAGTCTAACTACACATGTGCCCTCTTCCTAGGAAATGTTGATTAGGAAAACGTTAACTTTGTTCCACTACCCTACACAAGTCACTTAATGATGTTGTAATACACTGATAAATAGTGCAATACACTCCATGTACTTAACTATGAATATGAGTTTAGTACCCTCAAACAAATATGTTATCTATTCGTCCCAAATGCTCCTTTCGAGATTTTACCTTCATCTAGTGTTATCGTCAGTGTATACTCGGGATCAAAATTGAGATAACTGCAACCCTGTTACATTTCAGAGATCCCACACCTAGAGAGAATATCAAGATTTTCTCGTCAATCCAACACATCATTATGCTGAGCATTTATTAGTCATTTATTGTGTTTTTCTAGATGTAAAGGTTTATAAGTATTAAGATTTAAGAGAACAATATTTTTAAATTAAGTATGGAAAAGGTTATGATGTACACGTTCACATATGAAAAAATGTGAGATACCATTCGATTTAGAGAAATTATATAGCGTTCATCATGTGAGAAGTGAATGATCGACTTATCGTCATCGTCTTGAGTAGAGTAAGAGAGAATACTCATGCAAATGATCATGTTAGCTGACGTGTACCCTTATCCCAATTTCTATCATTTCTGCTTTACCTTTTTTCTTTTATGTATTTCTGATAAATTCATTACAATCGGAATGTTCTGATTATGTCTATATATAGCCAGTGTTTCATCCATGTGATTTGTGAAAGGTCCTTTTGACAAAAGCTAATATATATAAGATATCTTCATCACGTCAAGTATCTCATGTTATTTTCCATTCAAAAGTACGCTTCAACTTAATATTCTTTAATTTTTTTTCCTATTGCAGGCTTGCAGCTTAATTTCTTTCCCAAAAATTATAAAGAACTGAAAAAAAAAACGATGTTACTTTAGTTAATCAAGTAATTAGATCCTGACATATAGTAAAGATAAGATCATAATAATTTTTTATATAAAAAAGTAGCACAAAATCATTCAAGAATGCACTTTTGTATAAAATGATTGAAATTTTTTATGTTTTTTCCCTTTCTTGCAACAAACACATTCATTACCCATCCATTGTTGATCATAATCGCAATTCTTTTACTTTTTGACCAATTTCTATCTTTTACGTTTAAAAAGCGAGTAAAGTTTGTTCTTGAAATCATGAAGCACAAATGGTGATCAAATATATCACATAGTTTGTACCAACGGGTTTTAGATTTAATTCTGTCATAACAAGCTAGTTCAAGGTCATGTCAGTCTTTTTTTTTTTTTTTTTTTGTGATGGGACTTAACGATACAACCATTTTAATTATGTATATTTGTTGCCCATTTGAAGTAAAAAAATATATGCCAATGAAATCAAAGTTCTTACCATGATAACTCATTAAGTATTATGCAACATGAGTCCATTCTCATTAGGGAAACGGATATATACATTACACATGTACAACAAAATGGGCTACACTATACAATTGGGTTAATAATATACAATAATATACTGTTGTATAGTTCTCTGTAGATGGTTGTGTATAATTTAATACATAAAATAGTATGAAATAAGCAACCTTCATTACTTTTATTGATGCGAAATAGACAATGTCTATTTGGGATATGAAAATCATTCATAAACATAGTAAACGTCGGATGAAATAGTGTGATTTTATCCCATGTCCAATTTCATATATCTATCTAGTAAAACAATTAGTTAGGGGTTGTTTGTCTTTTATGAAAAACTACTTCTGACCGTCTGTGGCTGTATCGCATAGCACAGGCGCAACACTTGGGTGATGTTTTGTTTTTTGTCCGCAGATCTTCCTGACGTTTTCTGTCTGCGCGGCGCAGACCACGCGCAGATATTAACATTCGTAGACTGTTTGTTTTTCTGAAGACCGCAGACCTAAAAATGTATGCGCGCCCTCTTCTTGACGCAGATGTGGACCGGTGTCTTCTAATATCTTCTAGCCTAAAAAAACACATATATTTTTTTTTTTAGTTTTTTTGAATTTATATTTATTCCAACTTTATTAGTGATAAACAATTTGAAAAAAAAAAGTTACAATACTTCAAAAAAAAAAAAGTTCGACGATACAAGCGATATTTTTGACAAATTTATAAATAAAAGTTTATTGCAATAATGGTCGTTGAAGTTGTTTATATAAATATGAAAAAAATAATAATATATACTTATATTTTTTGTACCAAATTTTATAAAACATTATTTAATAAAGCATCGTTAATTTCTTAGAAAAAATATTTATGACACGTTTTTAATTGATTTAATTGAAAAAATCAAAGTTTATTTCTATTTATTTATATATCAAATTCTTTGATTCCTAATTACAATCTTTAGGCAAAAATTTGCGACCAAAATTGTTGGTTTTTTATCAAATATATACGTTAATTTGTACCATTTTTATTTTCACTTTTAATACAATAATACATAAAATTGATTTAGATTTGTTAATTATTTATAAAAAGTCATAAATATATTAAAAAATCACTTTGTAGTTTAAAATAATCACTTTATTTAGATTTTAATTTATTTTAGTAGTCTGCAGATGTTAAAAAAAACAAACAGTCTTCTTTTTTCAGACTGCAGACATTTGGTCCACCTCTTCTACTGCAGAAGTCTACAGATATGGTCCGCAGACCGCATACATTTTGCCTCAGAAAAAACGAACAACATTTTCGCAACTCTTTGTTTTTTAGAAGACTTTTGACTTAAAAATTGTTGTGCATATGTTGTATGGCGCACCACTCAACCATCATCTTCAAACCACTTCTTACCTTACTTTAAGTTATATTATTCAACATAGGGTTGTTTTAATTTTTTTCAACAATATATTTATTATTTTAATAATATTATGAATGATATTATAAACAATTCCAATATATATTTTACATGATTTTAAAACCGTTAGGTAAATTTCCTATAAATTATTTTTTTATGTTACATTGTTTATAACCAAATATTAATAAATTATAAAGTTAATCATTAAAATTATCAAATTTATTGAAGCTAACCGGAAAAAATCACGTAAAAAAATACAAATCATCGTCTCTTAAATTAACAATGTTATTTAACAAAATAATGTTTGTTGTTGTAAATTAACAATTTTCTTTTTGTTGTATTTAAATATATAGTTTAATTATGAGGTCATAGTTGTAAACGGGCCGGTTGGCGCTGTGTCAATACGGATTATGATTTGGGGAGCTTGGCGGAAATTGGTCAATATTAGTCAAACTCGGGCTAGGCGGTCATCGTCGTTCCTCGGCGGTCCTTCGCAGAAATATTTTAAAATATTCAAATTTCCAAATATTACACCAAGATTTACAAAATTTCAAAATTTTAAATTTTTAAATATTCAAATTTTCAAATATTATAACAAATATTTAAAATTTCTAAATTTAAAAATTTTAAATTTTCAAATACTAATTTTCTTAGGATATATTAAGTTTTAAAATATTTTTATTAGTAATTAAGGGTCCCTGATTAATCTTTTGACCCCAGTCAACCGCCGAGCTACCGTTAAGTAATTTTTACAACCTTATTTTATATAAACATTTTTAAAAATCATATCATCAGTTCATCACAATGATCTTTATATTTGATTTGCATATACTTATACTAAATAAAATTTTGATTTAGAATTTTTTTTAAACTATTGTATGGTTATTTTAGTTTGTTGCAGCAGCCTGCAGACGCTAAAAAACAAACAAACTTCTTATTATAGGTTGCAGCCGTTTGATTCGCCTCTTGGGCCGCGAAAAGTTACAGATGTGATCCACAGACTACAGACGTTTTCGTTTCGAAAAAACAAACAACACCTTAATCTATAACTAAAATTGGTAGAATAAAAATTTGATAGAAAATATTAAATTATAAATGAGATTATCTCGGCCATAATCTAACCTTATTGGGCCAAACTTGGGGTCTAAGTGTGAGACTGTAGAAAATCAAAATCCATCACGGTTTAGGTGGAAGTGGAATTACTTGGCCGATAATAAATATTGAACCCATGTAAACTCTAACCTGTCCAATTAGACCATATCACCATATCTCTAATTGCATCTATTGACAATAAAACAAGGAATCTTAGATATATAAAATAAATTATATGCTAGTGCTATTTATTGTAATGTTAACTATGACATCAGAAAAAAAAATGATTAATAAACTATAAAGATAAATTTAACCCCACCATGGCATGTAGGGTGTTGGATGAAGGTTTAAAGCGATTATTTTTAATTTGAACTCGGTGACAATCAATTTTGAATATTTTAGGTTATTTAATTTAGACCAAAATATTCACATTAAAAATTACTATAAAAAAATACTAGCAATCATCTACTGAAGTAGATATAAGATCATCTAAGTATCATAAAAATCCAATATCACACGTCAAAATCTAGACATTTGTACGTTGTAAGCATGTTCGGTAACCCAATCATAGATGCATGTACTTGAAAGAAAGAAAGATTCTTGAAGATGGCAAAGTCATGATCCACTGAATTGATATTTGATAACGGGACAATGAATGAATGACCCATAAGGTAGCAATCTCTTCAATATTTATAGGTATAGTAGCCCATATCTTCTCAGAGAAGATAAGGAGAAAACATTAGGACATGTTTTCCATACTAGTAGATATAGCTGAGTTGACTCGCTTGGCCTTATATTAAATTAAATAATAAAACTGTTATTGAAATCAAAAATCTTGAAACCTCTTGAAAAAAAAAAACATATACTTGGTGTATATCTTCAATATTCGACCCCAAGACAAGTTACTTGGCTTTTTACACATATTCATTTGTTACTATACATTATACATATGACCCAATGGGCACCTCATCACATTCACCCCACAACAGGGTTAGGGTTAGGGTTAGGGTTAGGGCTCATCATCTTCTTTGATGAGCTACGAGTGTAAAGCAAACTTGGAAAACAACCCTGCATCCTCTTTGTCTTCAAACCATAAGCATTAACATTATCACCCTGGACAATTGGACTTTCCACTACTTTCCCGTTTTTGTTAACTGCTTCTTCTTCATCGTCCTTTTCAAATTCGTAGTTGCCTCTTAGACTGTCTTTAAAAAGATCAGAAAGTCTCATTTTCTTTTCAGAGCCATTTGGAGATGCTTCATGTTTATTAGAGAACTTATGGTGGACAGGAGTATTGCCTCTTGAATTTGATGGGGTAAATTCTGCATTAATAAATTATAATTACAGGGAGACCACTCATTTAAAAAATAAAAAATATATATATGAAAAATAAAGTATCTTACCACCATTAACACTCATGAAATCATCGTCACAATCAGATTCTAACCATGCCTGTGAGTCAAAAAATGTCTCCTCTTTACTACCTGCAGCTCAAATTCAAATTCAAATTATTTAACACACATATACATGCGTATGTCATGTATCATATATGCAAGATTAAATAAATAATCTAACTTGTGAGTAGCTAGCTACCATTATTGTTCATAACGAGAATGTTCTGTGGGCCATTAATTCATCTCATATAATAAGTTACACCGATATGATTGGTATTCTAAATTTTGTTTTCTAGTCAATTAATTATAACACCATGGATCAAACAGAAACAGCAAAACATGATTTGAGAATGAAACAATAATTCTGAAAACACAAAGTTGTAATTATTTTAATGTTTTCAACCCAAAGATTTTTTTTTTTTCAGCGAATTTCAACAAAAACCTGCGGTTTTTTATAAAAAAAATTCAAAAATATTTTTTGTGATCTCTAAGTATTTTTTTTATACATTTTTATGATTTTTAGGGTTTTTTTTGTTTTCCATATAACATAAACCTATAGATATATATATAGATATATATATATATATATATATATATATATCTATATATTATATATATATATATATATATATATATATATAATATATATATATATATATAATATATTATATATATACACACTAAGATCGATCGTAACTTTGAAGATAGATAAGAATTGCAATTTTTGTGCGAAACACAAGCAGTACATATCTTTTGACCAACTCTTTCCTAGCTTTTCCCCTTTTCCAAAACAAGCAAAGAACCTGACAACCTTTTCCATAGAATAAACAAAATATATACAATTACATTCCTACAAATGTAATTAAAGTAAAAGATATAATTAAGATCATCAGAAAAAACCCCTTTGATTATATCGAATTAGATGCAACTCATGAAATTAATAAAGAATCTAAAGATCGACAAAGAGTCAACAATCAAATTAAGCAACAAATGGAATAAAGAAAACTCACATATCGATCCAATAAAAGTCAAAAAGAGAGCTAAATCTCGTATAATAAAGAAAACTAGAGGGTGGCTGGCTATGAATTAAAGAGATGATGTTCGGAAGTAGTGTCTTATATAAACTGATTATTCATGGATCAAATAATTATTGCAACTTCAAGGATCTTAAAACATCCAAACACACCATGTCTTAATTTGTGATAGTTAAAGCGCATATATATATCGAAATACCCCTATACAAATTAACAAAGCAATTAAGGGATGAATATGAACCACACAAAGACATCAGAATCACAAGACCCTGTAGACCCATGAAAATTGGCGATGGTATAGAGGAACAGAAATAATACCAAAATTGCGAAAAGAAGTGGCTGGGTGAGGAGGAGGATCGCCATTGATGATGGGAGGTTTGACGAGGTTGGTATCATTAGACCCCAAACAAGACTTGAACCTTCATCGCAGAAGGCTTCTGGTGTGTTGAAACGCAAGTTCCCATCTCGATAATTTAATAACTGGCGACAATTCTCGAGTTAATCAAGACACACAGAACCTGTGATGATACTGTGTTAAAGAGAGAGATAGAGAGAGAGTAAAGTATAAATGAAATGAATGGTGTGATTTGGCGTTACGCTTAAGATAAGAAGGAAAACGGTTGTGAGTAGTAGAAACTAGAAAGCAGAAATGCCAAAATAAATCGAGAAGAAAATGGAAATGGTGGTAAATTGGTGATTGATTAAAATTAAAAAAGGGAAGCTGTATGCATTAACCAAGAGCTTCCATGGTCCCTCCCTCCCTTTGAACTGTATTTAAAAGTTTTTTCTATTTTTTTTAGGCTTGATTTTGACATTCCTTGTCTGCATTTGGATTTTATACACACGGAAGGAAAGGAGGAGGAGATATTTTTCATATCACTTATAATTTGTTCTTTTATATTTGGGTTGGATATGATTTGATTTCATGACTAATTGCGAATCAATGATATTTTTTTTTTATCATAATTACAATTTTGTTTTATTTAACATAACAACTGTATCATTCGTCATTCGTTTTCTTTATATAAAACATCATGTAAATTTAGAAGATAAAAAACAAGTGGGATGGTGGTGATGAATGAATGATGATTTCTCAATGCTACTAAAGTCTAAAAGTGGTTAATTAAGGCTTTATGGAATTGTACTGTACAAGTGTAAGAAGCAGTAAGTGGGTGAGCGTCGGCTGTTGCCATGTGAGTAGAGTAGCGCGTCCAGCCCGGGTCTAAACCGCGGACACATGCTCTTAATATTTACCTAACTCCCTAACGTCCTTTTTCATGTGTTATTATCATATTTAGTATTTTTCTTCTTTTGCAAAAAGTGCGGGGAAAATAATTTGGAAAGGTAATTAACTTTTCAGTAAGTTTACATCTAAGTAATTATCTTTTGAGAATATTCGTCAAATGACCAAAATGTAGGATGACTTTGACTACAAAAATAAAGATTTCAGAAAATAACCACAGGTTCCGCAGAGGGGGTTCTGCGGAACCATAAACACCACTGCGGAATGTGAACACCTTTGCGGATCTTGGTTTTTTTCATTTTTTTTTTTTTTTTTTTTTTTTTTCGTTTATTAATATTATTTTTTTTAATCACATAAGGTATCATGTGATTATTATGTAAAAAAAAATGTTTTCGTTTTTCGTTTTTCTTATTTAATTACCCGTTTGTAAAAGTTGTGTGTTTAATAAAAATTATACAAATATTATATGTTTTTTATAAAATTACATACACCGGTATTCTAAATAACAAACATACTTTAAGTAGGTTACAAAACATACTTTAGAAAACATAAACATACAACCTTCATAATAAACATACTTTGAAATAAACTTCATTAAAGTCTCTGTGGATCCTCTACAGCTCTGCAGAATCTTTGTTTTTGATTTTTTGATTTTTTTTTTGTTTTTTCGTTTTTTTTGCGTTCATTTTCGTTTATTAATATTAAATTTTTTTAAAATACACTAATACCTTATGTGATTATTATGTAAAAAATTTGACCAAAAAAAGTTAAAAATAATGAAATTTTTATGTAATACGTTTGCTACTAATGTATGTTTTCCATTATTTTTACTGTTTTGTATTTTATGTTCTATGGAATAAAGTAGAAGTTAACTCAACTGGTTTCGTAAATAACCTAATACAAACCAAAATACATATAATAACGTAATACAAACCGGTGCATATAAATAACCTAATTAAAATTATACAAATATTCCATGTTTTTTATAGGTTACTAAACATACTTTAGAAAACATAAACATACAACCTTCATAATAAACATACTATGAAATAAATTTCATTCATTCAAATCGAACCAAGGAAACTTTGATTTGTTTTCGTATTCCGTCTATGAGTTTTCTGTTGCTTGTGTCCCTAGGTTTACTGTCGCTTGCGTCCATTGGTTATCTGGCTGTTGCTGCCATTGGTACTCGGTGAAACCCTGTCATTGGTTATGTGGCTCTTCCTACGGTCAGTATTCGGTCCCTTGCGTCCATTGGTTATGTGGCTCATGCTGCTATTGATGTTCGGTATGTTGTGTCCATTGGTTGTCTGGCTGCTGCTGCCATTGATGTTCCGTCTGTTGTGTCCATTGGTTGTCTGGCTGCTGCTGCCATTGTTGTTCGGTATGTTGCGTCCATTGGTTCTCTGGCTCATGCTGCTATTGGTTCCAAGCTCCATGACATACCCTAACTCCGGGTGCTTAAAAGACAAACATATATGACTATTTAGCACACCTACCTTACTTCTAACCATTTGTAATAACATTTCATGGTCAATGTTAGGAGGAAGATTTAAACCATAATTTTTCACATTATTTCTAACGTAAACCTCATCTCCATTAACTAACTGCCAAGACCCTCTCGTACACAAAATAATAAAACTCATTTTACAAATCACTCTCCACAAACACAATGAAAAAACAACTTCTACTGGTAATTGAAACTCACAAACTCACAAAAACCCACTAAAATATGTCTGTAACTTCTATAACTGATCCACAGAGGTGTACACAGATCCATAGAGGTGTACACTGATCCACAGAGGTGTACACAGATCCGCAGAGGTGTATACTGATCCGCAGAGGTGTACACTGATCCGCAGAGGTGTACACTGATCCGCTGATAACAATTCTGTGGATTCCCAAACAGTTTTGTGGACTGATATTAAACATAAGTTCATTATTTTTATTTTGTCAAATTTTTTACATAAAACATAAGGTATTAGTGTATTAAAAAAAACTAATATTAATAAACGAAAACAAAAAATAGAAAAAACAAAAAAACAAAAATTAAAAATTAAAAAACTCAAGATTCGCATAGGTGTTTCGGTTCCTCAGAGGCAAACGTATTACATAAAACATTTCATTATTTTTAACCTTTTTTTGTAGAATTTTTTACATAATAATCACATAAGGTATTGGTGTATATATATATATATATATATATATATATATATATATATATATATATATATATATATATATATATTAATAAACGAAAATGAACGCAAAAAAAACGAAAAAACGAAAAAAAATTAAAGAAATCAAAAAACAAAGATTCTGCAGAGCTGTATAGGATCCGCAGAGCCTTCAATGAAGTTTATTTCAAAGTATGTTTATTATAAAGGTATGTTTATGTTTTCTAAAGTATGTTTTGTAACCTACTTAAAATATGTTTATTATTCAGAATACCGGTGTGTGTAATTTTATAAAAAACATAGAATATTTGTATAATTTTTATTAAACACACAACTTTTATAAACGGGTAATTAAATAAGAAAAAGGAAAAACGAAAACAAATTTTTTTACATAATAATCACATAATACCTTATGTGATTAAAAAAAATATTAATAAACGAAAAAAACGAAAAAAATGAGAAATCCAAGATCCGCAGAGGTGTTCACATTCCGTAAAGGTGTTTATGGTTCCGCAGAACCCCCTCTGCGGAACCTGTGGTCATTTTCTGAAATCTTCATTTTTGTGGTTATTTTCCTCAAAATCACCCTACATTTTGGTCATTTGCCGAATAAGCTCTTATCTTTTTTCTGTATACATCTAGTTAACAAACTTGTTGGAAGTGTTCATATATGGCCATTATGACCGGATGTAGCAGGTTACATCCTAGATGTGAACACTTTCAACAAGTTCGTTACATAGATGTGTTCAAAAAAATAGATACCCAGATATGAACAAAAGGAAAAGTAAGAGTAAATTACACGAATGGTCCCTGTGGTTTGGGGGAATTTGTGTTTTTGGTCCTTAGCTTATTTTTTTTTAACTTGGATGGTCCATATTGTTTATTTTTGTTGCGCGTTTGATCCCTGCCTTACCTAAAAAGATTATTGTGCCCTTATAAAATTATTTTTTAATTATTTTTCTTATTTATGTATTTATTTTTTTATATATTTAAAAAAATTAATAGACCTCACATATTTGTATCTCCTCACCCACTAAAGATGAAGAGACGTTGTATATTATAGGGATGATCCGATCCGCAAGGACCATGATTGGGAATTGTTTGATCGACTTTCTCTGAAGAAGAGACCAAATAGAATCAACTTAAATTCGGGACCACTATTCGAAATTTTAGTGAAACATTGGATTTGTTATCTCATGTCTGCTTTTCGTGAAAAAATACCAATTGAAGTGAAGGGTTTTTTCAAGCAACAAGGGGTTGGGTCAACTATTAAATCAAATGATATTGAGCACTAAAGATGATGATATATAAATATGTGAGGTCTATTAGTTTTTTTAAATATATAAAAAATAAATACATAAATAAGAAAATTAATTAAAAAATAAATTAATAAGGGTACAATAATCTTTTTAAGTAAGACAGGGACCAAACACACAACAAAAATAAACAGTAGAGACCATCCGAGTTAAAAAAATAAATTAGGGACAAAAAACACAAATTCCCCCAAACCACAACGACCATTCGTGTAATTTACTCTTACTTTTCATTTTGTTCATATTTAGGTAACTATTTTTTATGTACACATCTAGGTAATGAACTTGTTGAAAGTGTTCACATCTAGGATGTAACCTGCTACAGTCGGTCATAATGGTCGCATGTGAACACTTCCAACAAGTTTGTTACCGTTATATGTATTAAAAAAAATAGTTACACAAATGTGAATTTACTGAAAAGTTAATTGCCTTCCCAATTCATTTTCCCGCAAAAATGAATATAACTAGTTTTTTTTAATCTTAAGAAAAAAGGTAAAGTTATGACTTACGAGAATGTGTCATTACTTATAAAAAAAATAATAAACAATACACACTCCCTTAGTTTTTTCTGTAAAAAAAAATCTAGTTTATTTTCAACAATGAAGAATGGAGCAAATATTAAACCCAAGAGTTAAGACATTATGCTTGGTCATTTAAATAAACAAAGAAAGGGTTGATATTTAATACATCTTAAACCTCATAGTTGTTGGTTTAAGTGCATCCGTTATATGTAATACTGGAGTCGAAAAACATGTAAAAGATGCCTAAATATACAGATTATTTATAAATTTTGTTTTGCAAAGTACAATTTCAATACGAAGAGTTTAAAATTTTTGAACATCTATGTTAATTAAAAAGGAATTGTAAAAAGACCACCACAAAATTGTTAGGCCATCCCATACGTGTATAATTTCTTTTATTACTGTCTTTATTATAATAATAATAATAATAATAATAATAATAATAATAATAGCAACAACAACAACTAGTAAACATGTCCATGCTTTGCAACGGGCTTGATGATTTTTTTCTATATTGTTTTGGCTATTGTAGTCGTACATTTAAGAAATAACATGAAAATATAATACTCTAATAAGAAAAGGAAAATAATACAATACTATAATAGCAATATACTTTCTAAAAATATCCTATGAAACCAATGACCTCTAATGCAATAAGTAGCATTCATCTCTTCTCATTACTGATGAGTTTTGAGCCTCATTAGAACAAACAAAATGGCAGTGGAAACAACAAACAATCTAATCTAATACTCGAAACATATGGATCTAAACTCAACTAATCTATGCAACTTATTTGAACGTAATAGAACGAAAAATGTACCTTAGTGGGTTTCTTCTTTTGACGAGCCATTTGGTTGGACTAGAGAACTCAAATGAGAGTTCTTCTTTTGAAATCGCACCCAAAAGACAAACAAGAAACATATCCAAACAACCCTTGAACTATGAGCTTCAAATAGAACTGAAATCTCGGTTTTGTTCTTCGACGACGACGTGGAGATCAATAGGCCACGACGTGGGAGCGACAATTTCTAGATTCTTTAGGGTTTTGAGAATTTCGAACTTTGACAGCTGAGAGGTATATTTCACACACACCAAAACCGGATTTGGAGGCCTCTATTATTTTATAAGGAGGTGATTTGAAACCCTAGAGATAATTACCAAATATAATAATTATTATCTAATGAATTCAAATCATTCTTGAATATTCCATACTAGGTGTAAGACCCATGTATTACATGAGTTAATTAAAAAAAACTAAATGTAAATGTCTAAATATTTAAGAACTTTAGATTTATAAGAAAATAAAAAAGAATAATGAATTATTAAAATTTATTTTTTTATCTTTTAAATTTAAATAAATAAACAAAATAAACTAATGAGCTTTAATTTAGGAATTTTGAAATAAGAAGGTAAGTCCATTAATAAAATTGATATTCATTTATTACTACATTTATTGTAATTATTACATTAAAATATTATATGAAATTTATTAAAATAGAAAAATCCATAAAATGACATTTGGAAAAGAAATTAATTCAAAATAGCCACAAAATGACATTTGGTAAATTGAATGAGAGTGTGACATGTGGCAAAAAAACATTCATTTATTAGAGTAGATTCCATTTATTTACTATTTAATTCATTAAACTATTAATTAACTAACCAAATAAGTCCTTAAAATAAATATCTTTTCAGATCTGCTTCATTTTGTTCTTGGGAACTGATTTATCCACTGAATATTTTTATCCATCCACAGAAAATAATATGTATTGACAATATTGCCCTTAATTTAATTTCTGGATATTAAAAGATGGAAAATCCAGGCCCGGTCCAGACGGTGGGCCACCCGGGCGGTCGCCCAGGGCCCATGTCTTTAAGGGGCCCAAAATTCCTAGAATATATATATATATATATATATATATATATCTATATATATATATATATATATATATATATATATATATATATATATATAGAGAGAGAGAGAGAGAGAGAGAGAGAGAGAGAAATCAACTTATCTAAAAATGCTAGGAAAAATATTTTTCTTTAAATTAGTTGTTTTTGTAATGTTGTGGTCATATTTTTGTTTTTTAATATTAATAGTGAATTTTTTAACCGTTTGTCTATTTTTGATTTTAGGGGCCCATTTTTTCTTTTTGCCCTGGGCCCACTATATCTTTGGACCGGCCCTGGGAAAATCTCAGGTGGAAACTCCAAACAGTATACAACTCATGACAAAACAACCTATAATCCTTTGGTGCCTACTTGTTCTTCAGCAGACGCTGCTTTTTCAACGCACTCTCAAACAGCAACTCCAAACGATTTTTCCATTGATGTTGTCCCCTTGAAAAAACAATAAAGTCTCAATCTTATCTGCAACAATTTTGCAACATAAATTCATCCA